ATTCTTGTGAGTTGTATTCTCCACCACGGTCACTGCGAAGTTTCTTAATAGGCATGCCCACTTCCTTTTCAACAAATGTTTTGAAACTTTTAAAAGCTAAAAAGTTTCAGATTTATCCTGCAAAACATACACCAAAGTTTTTCGACTATAGTCATCAATGAACGTTATAAAATAATGTTCACCACCATTTGATGTTGGAGAGATAGGTCCGCATAAATCTGAGTAAATTGCTGATGTTCTTGGTTGTTACCACGATCATTGCTTCCTCGACTTTTACCTTTGTGTTTACTTCCTTTTGATGTTGAACGAATTTCAGTTGAGGATTTTAATGCTTGTTCCTCCTTTTCTTGTTGAGTAATTTTTTGCTCATGTATTAGTAAGGAACTTTGCAACTCATCAATGGAAAGTTCCTCAATGTCATGAGCTTCCTCGATAGAGAAAACAACAAAATTGAATTTTGGAGTCATGGATCGGAGAATCTTCTCAACTACAATGATGTCTTGTGTCTTGTCACCGTGGTTCCGCATTTTATTGACGATTGCCATCATGCATGAAAAATAATGTCATTGATTCACCTGATTTCATTCGTAGTGTTTTAAATTTCGAGTGAAGTGTTTGAAGCTGCTGCCTCTTTGCCCTTGCTGAGCCTTGATACTTCTTTTTCATGGAATCCCAAATATCTTTTGATGTGTCTTTGTTGAGAATGGTTTCCAAGATGGAGTGGTCAATTGCTTGGAAAAGATAATTCTTTGCTTTAAGATCTTTCAAATGTAGTCCTTCTATTTCAGTTTTTCTGGCTTCGCTCATTGTCGAGCCAACTTCTGATTCTGGGATTCCATCTGATACAACTTGCCAATACTCCTTAGACCTCAAGAAGTTTTCCATGAGCATGCTCCAATGGTCATAATGACCATCAAATCGAGGAATAGCGGGTTGCACGAAATTGTCTGTGGCCATCGTGTATTGCTGTTGCAAAACAAGAAATAGAAAACAAACTTTTCCTCACTTCCCGGTGTTTACCCACCTTTTTATATTTTCTCTCTTTCACTCCCCTTTCTACACTCAAATAACCTGGCTCTGGTTACCACTGTTAAACAAAACTAAGAAAGAGAGCTATTTCGGAAGTGCATTTGCTTTATTTATAGGCAATTCAGTAACAGTCAAATAGATAAGCACTAAACCATAACAGTAACTGAATACATAAAAAATAGGAATGGATTCAAGACATGGACTTCTCAAATATATTGGAACAACTAATCACTCCTTAAAACTAGGAATAATAAAAAAATAGCAATAAGACTTGGTAAACCAAACCACGTCACAAATTATTTGACATTTTGTCAACAAATACAAAATATATATATATAAAAAAGGATTGTAGAAACAATTCAATAATAAGTATATCAATGATAGTTATACTATACACTCTTAAGTCTTAAGACATAACTTTATTATCCATTACTATTAAAAATCACAGTTTAGCGACCAAAGCTTAGAATTCAACTTTTAAACTCCTTAGTGACCAAGATAAAGACAAAAGGAAGTAGGTAAAAAAAATAAAAAAACTAATCACAAAGTCAATTAGCAACTAATATGAAGATAACAACCCATATATTTGTTCACCAACAAAATAGCGTGAGTTACTAATATATTGGTCGCATTGGAATTAGCAATTGATATTTTGGTCACAAAAACAGTGTTAAAAATTTGAAAATACAAATCTTTTCAACTATGTTTAAACTTTTTTTTCCACTATTTCAATCGCTAAATTTGTAAATCAGTTATTTAATAAACTTTTTAATAAAAAAAATAAAATATGAAAATTAGAGAATAAACTTATAAATATAAAATATTATAAATACTAATTTGTAAATCAATTATTAAGTCACACAATGTAAATATACATAACACAATACATACTTATTCAACAAGGTATGAAAATGTTTAGAAAATTTTTGAGAATTCTTCTATTAAAGGAGGGGAGCAAAGGAAAAGGGAGGGAGAATGGAGGAGTAGAAATTTGTTTGGTTGAAATGAGTGGGGGGAAGGAAAGATAGTTGTTTTCTTATTTGATTCAAAAGAAAAGGAGAAAAATTTTAAAAATTAATTTATTTTTATATCTTTTTAATTTTAAGTTAATAACAGAAATAAAGATATTTTAAATATTATATTAAAAACATTTTTAAAATCTCTCCCTTCCCCACTAACATAGTGTTTGGTTGGAAGGGAATGAAAAGGAGGGGTGGGGAGAGGAAAGAATTTTAAAACACTTATTATTTTGTTCAATTTTTAGGAAGAGATTGGATGGGATGGGAAGGGAACAAAATTCCTCCTAACTAAATTTTAGCTCTTTAAGATTTGAAGGGAAAGGAATTTTAAAATATTTTTTTAATATAATATCTAAAATATTATTATTTGTGTATTAAACTTAAAATTCGGGAGAAAAGTAATCAACCATCCTAACTTTATTTCTTTTACAAATATGTACCATAAACTTTTATTTTATCCTAACCAATCTTTAAACTTTATTTGATTTGTAAATAGATATTATGAACTTTAATTTTGTTTCAATTAATCCTTAAACTTTACTTCTTTTACAAATAAATACCCACAACTTTAATTTCATTCTAATTGATTTTGACATTTGATAATTTATTATTTTTACAAAGTTTTTATGTTATATATTAATTTAGAGTTAAATTATTTATCTTAAATATCAATCATTCACTAATCTTTTTCTTTTTATGTTACAACTATTTTTTTTTTCAAAATATAATAAAAATACGAATTTAGAAGAAAAGAAATGACAAAAACAATAAAAAGAAGTCTTTATTTAATTTTTTGTTCTTCTAAATTATATGGTATTTTAATATATATGAAAATAAAACTAATATATATGTAGCAAAAAATTAATAAATAAGTGTGATTTAAAATAAATAAATGATTTATATTTTTTTATCTTAGTAATTTAATCTTAATTTGATATAAGAGACTTTTAAAAAATAATTAAGATAAAATTGCAATTAAAGTGTTTATTTGTAAAAATGATAAAATTTAAAGATAAATTATAATAAAATTAAAGTTTATGATATTTATTTGCTAACAAGAAAAATTTAATAATCAATTGAAATAAATTTAAAGTTTATAGTGTCTATTTACAAAAGGAGTGAAATTTACGTGGATTAAATATTTTTTTCCCTTAAAATTATAAAGATATAAAAATAAAATAATTTTTAAAATCTCTCACTGATCCCCTTGTAAATTAAACAAGAAAAGAGTTACCATCTTCTCTCAACCAAATAAAAATTTTATCTTTTCCCTCTGCCTTCATTAAAATTTCTCACCTCTCCTTCCCTTTTTTGAATTAAAAGGATTCCAAATCTTTTCAATATTGGAGAACTATGAGAAATTTTGCTTGCTCGAACCTTCTCACCTTTTACAAATTGAATTAAATAAGAAAACTTTTTAAAATTATATATTTTTTCTCTCCTCTAATTAAACACTGTGTTAAAATGAATAAAGTTATTAAAATAAAATATAAAATTTTGTTACCTAGAGTATGCGTTTGCCAAGTGTTATCGCATAAACCAAGAGCAGAAAAAGTTATACGTTTTTGTTAATTTTATTATGAGCCTACCAATGATAATTAAAGGTAACAATATACGTGATTTGGGCATTAGTATTTAATTCAACAGAATTTATTAAAAAGGCCCACCACCTAGTTATTATGGTCATTTTCATATTAATGATATGGAATCACCTAGTTATTATGGTGATTTTCATATTAATGATATGGAATCGTAGAACATTAAAAATGTATATATTTGTTCTTAGTTAGGTAGCTAACCACCCATCATCACCCTTAATCCTACCACAGAACTGTCATTACTGAGCCCAGTTAATCAGTTACAAGTCTACTTGACACTTAAACCAATAACGTGCCACAATTTTATTTATACATACTAGATTTTTTTTTCTTTCTCAACATATTTGTAAATAAAAGAGGTAACTTCCTATCTCCTAAGTTTTAAAAATTATTAAAAAAAATAATATAAATTGAATGACTAGTTATAGATAATTATTTAGAAAATATGGATGGTTATTTTATTTATTTTTTTAACAAATAAAAAATATAATGATCTATTAAGAATAGAAATAAAAAACAATTATTTATAGTGTATCTCTTTAATTTCAATTAATTGTTATCATTAGTATAGACTTCTTTCTTAATAACGTATTTTTATATATATAGTAATACAAAAGACTCGTTATTGATTATCACGCATTGTTTAAATACATTAAAAATTAACTGTTATCTTTAGTATTAATCGTCTAGTATTATTTAGCATGTGCATATTTTTAATTATCATGTTATTATTAATTATTAAATTTAAAACACCGATAAAAAAGTTGATTTAAAATATTAATATGTGTAATTATGTATAACATAGCTAGTGATTAGTTTTAGTTCGTTAAAGTTTAAAAAAAATTACAAATAACAAAGAATTTACAATTTTGGTCCATAATTTTTTTTGAGATTTTTATAATTAGGTTCCCAAATAATAAAAAAAACATTTGTAATTGGATCTTAATATTTACATTTTTGTAATTTAATTTAAAAAGTTAAACATTCATTTATAATCTGCAACATTTGATAGAATATTTTTTTTTATAATTTTCATATATAGTTAGATAATCACATCAAATTATTATTTTATGTCATTATTTATGTATATCAGGTTAATTTTAATCTCTACTTGTTAAAAATCTTGTACAAATTTCCCTAATCGCTTTTCTCTCAAACTCTTACTCTCCAATCACTAGAATTTGCTTAGTTTCTCTACACATAATGTGAAAAAATAGTTTAATGTGATTGTTTAAGCATAAAAATATAAAGAATATTTTATATTTGTACATCTAACCCGAGGACATCACTCTTAAAAATTGTGTATATTAATTAAGAATTAGCCACAATGTAAATATAGAAGATGAGTGTATCCACATTCCCAAAGTGAAGGCTTCAAACCAAAGACTAACGTAAGATAAGCAAGCAATTGAGTGAATGGCAAAGTAAAACCAATTGGACACACAATGCAACATACAATTCACCTTGCCAAATCCAGCACGCCAAGCAGCACATCCCCCAACAGAACAAACGTGATGAAGCCCCCATAAATCCCACCAATCTCCTCACGAGTCTCCACACATGATCTCTTTCTCTACTCTCACCAACATGATGGCCAGCTTCTACTTCTTCTTCTTATTTTCTCTCTTGCAACATCTTCACTTCTTGGAACTCACCATTGCTGCCACCGTTTTCTTAGCCCTTCAACTTTTCATCTCAAAGAGGCACCATGGCCTACCCATTTGGCCAATCCTCCGAATGCTACCTTCCCTTCTCTCAGGCCTCAGAACCAACCTCTATGAATGGCTCACCCAAGTCCTCATCCGCCAAAATGGAACCTTCACATTCCATGGCCCTTGCTTCACTAGCCTCAACTGCGTCATCACCTCAGACCCTCGCAACATCGAGCACCTCCTCAAAACCAACTTCTCCTCCTTCCCTAAGGGAAGATTCTTCAGGTAATTAATTAATTAACCACAAAAATACAAAATATAGAAAATAAGGAATATTCAAAACTGAAAAGTTTTTGTATTGGAAACTTTCACTGAAAATCATGTTACACAGCTAGTTCCCAATAAAAAAAACTATAGAAAACAACAAGAAATTTCTTTATTATATATTCGTTAAGGAATTAATTAATATGGAGAAGATTTTTATTAGAAACATTACATTGAAAATCAAGGATACCATAGTGTTTGTTTCATAAAAAAAAAACTTTCCACTTTTGATTCCTCAACTACCCTCTTGTCGTGTCTTATTTAGCATTTTTCGTGGAAAACAAGGAGAACACTATCTTTAATTCAAAGACACGATGATGTGATGAATCATGTTTACAAGGTACACGCTTCGTGACCTGCTAGGAGATGGCATATTCAACTCAGACAACGAAGCATGGCAGCGACAAAGGAAAACGGCGAGCCTCGAGTTCCACTCAGCCAAGTTCAGAAACCTAACCGCAGAGTCCCTATTGGAGCTTGTCCACAATAGACTCTTACCTCTACTGGAATCATGCGTCACCGAATCACGCGTCATCGACCTTCAAGAAGTGTTGCTGAGGCTAACATTCGATAACGTGTGCATGATAGCTTTCGGTGTAGACCCCGGTTGCTCGCAGCCCCACATGCCGGAGATTCCGTTCGCGACGGCGTTCGAGGACGCGACGGAGACCTCGATGAGGAGGTTCGTGACCCCGGTGTGGCTGTGGAAGTTGATGAGGCGCCTCAACGTGGGGGTGGAGAAGAGGCTGAAGGAGTCCATAAAGAGGGTTGATGAGTTTGCTGAGAGTGTTATCAGGGCGAGGAAGGAGGAGCAGCGTGAAGATGATGAAGAGAAGTGTGACTTGTTGACGGTGTTCATGAGGCTCAAGGATGAGAATGGAGAAGCTTACTCTCATAAATTTCTGAGGGACATTTGTGTGAACTTCATATTGGCGGGGAGGGACACTTCTTCTGTGGCTTTGAGCTGGTTTTTCTGGCTTCTGCATCAGAATCATCAAGTGGAGGAGAAGATTGTGGGTGAGATTTGTAGGGTGGTGAGCGAGAGAGAGGGGTTCAAGAAGGAAGAGATTCATGGTTTGGCTTTCAGGAGTGAGGAGATAAAGAAGATGGATTATCTGCATGCTGCACTTTCGGAAGCTCTAAGGTTATATCCTTCTGTGCCTGTGGATCACAAGGAGGTAATTCTTGTTTTCAATTTTTTGTTTTTAATTCTAACCCTACAAATACTGAAATTAGATTAATTACTATATGTGTGATTGAAATGGGTTTTTATAAATAAATTTACAGGAAGATGAATTTGAGAAATTTTATTTTTATTTAAATATAAAAATTCTCATGTAATAAATCAGCTTTAAAGAGGAAAAGTTATTAAAAGATAATTATAAGTTTTAAAATTTCAATTTTATGAAAAAAAAAAACTTATTTCTAAAAAAAAAAGTTTCAAATTTAAATTGTTCTAATTAATGCGATTTTTATTTTGCAGATATTTTTTATAATGAGAAAAAACTAAAATGTGAGATTATAATGTTTTCTCAAATATGTTGATAACTAAAAGTTAAAAATCATTTAAAAAGAAAAGAAATAAGAGAATTCTTTTATATATATATATA